TGGGTTGGTGGGTTGGTGGGTTGGTGGGTTGGTGGGTTGGTGGGTTGGTGGGTTGCTTGCTTGCTTGCTTGCTGGCTTGCTCGCTTGCTCGGTTGCTCGGTTGCTCGGTTGGTGGGTTGGTGGGTTGGTGGGTTGGTGGGTTGGTTGGTTGGTTGCTTGCTTGCTTGGTTGGTTGGTTGGTTGGTTGGTTGGTTCTCAGATCGTTTGTCAGATCGTTTGTCAGATCGTTTGTCATGGCGCGTGTCTTGTCTGTTTGTGTTCATTTCTACTTTCTTGATAATATTGATACTGTTTGTCGGATGTCTTTTGCTTGTGTGTTTTGATATTCGTTGCTTCACTCCTGTCATTGCTGCATGTGCTTACTTTTGGTTGGGCTTGGCTGGCAGGTTGTTGGTTGTTGGTTGTGGTGGCTGATATCTAGCTCCTTCTTGGTTTGTGTGCTGTTGTTTGTACCACATGTGCTTCTAGACGAAGAAAACACGTGGTCAATCTTTCTGTGTGTGCGCGTGTGGGGGACTAAAGTCTAAGCGCAACTGGCGAAGGTCGGAAGTTCGGCTCCTGCGCCTCAAACTTGTTGGCAACTGAAGATTAAGGAGGTTTGTGACGCCAAAAGTAACTTTTGCAAAGATCATTATGAATCATAGAACTGTTGCATTTCGCCTGCAGTCCTAAGGTGAACATGCCCTGGCCACTCACATACAGGCTGCTGATATTACTCCATATCCGTGGCAGCACCTGTTCGGATGGATGATCCAGGGATATCAACGGGGCAACACTGACTTGTATTCAATTCAAGGGGGGCTGCCTTGTCAACATCCTCAAAGAACCACTCTCGCACGAAGTCAATGGGAATGTCCTATTAGAGGCATGTAGGTGCACACCACTATCCAGCGTGAAAATCTGCCGCAATCCTGCATACCCCATGCAGACGACTTCCGGTAGCAGTCCATTTCATCAATCGGCAGCGCCTGTGAAGTAAAGGCTAAGAGAGTCAAGCATTCCAGTTCATGGTTTGTTATTAGGATGAACATGAACATGCAAAAGATTGCAAAAGTCTATCAAACGTTCCATCATTCTTAGGTACATTCTCCGGACACAACATCTTCGACTATGTGATATGAAAACATGAAAACACATTAAAGTACTTGCTTTTTGCAAAAAGGAGGAACTGGTGCAAGAAGAACAAGCACTGTGCCTGGTGCCACTCTTCTCGATGCACAAACAGAGCGTATGGGCCAGTGAGGTGGATGAGAAAAATGTTGTGTGGGGCTAAGACCTAAGCAGCTCAAATCCGTGCAGGTTTCTCCGCAGCTAATCTTGCGCCTGCATTGCAGCTGACAATGAACAGGCCATGAGAGCAGGTGGCGTTTCCACGCTCTGGCCTCAAAGTAACAAAACATCAATCAACTATCGTCAAAGTACGTGAGCCAAATAACACTTGCCTTCACTTGCTCAAAGCCGAGTGTACAAATTCAATGAATTTTTATGTATCCTCCCTCAACCCCTAATAAACATAATAAACCAGCGGCAATTCTGACACTCAATGCGAGAGAGAGGGGCTGTGGGGTATAAATTCAAATGGAGGTGGAACCTGCAATCAGAATCGCCCGATCTTGAAATGCTAAAGAGGTAAAAGCCAATATAGTAGTGCTTTTGCAGTGCATAGCGAAAACAAAGCCTGGCTGAAGACAAACATCGCTACGAGTCGAGGTTGGACCTTACCGCCATGACCATGCATGACCATGCCATGCTTCCTACGTATTGCAAGTTGTCTGGATCTGTGAGTCCAAGCTTTCAAGAGAAGACTGCGAAGTACTTGGCAGGATGATCCATGTGGCAAAGCATCCAAACGGAGCAAATCGATCGGACCTGAAAACCAGCAAGTTGAACATGCGGACAGAACATGAATCTCATTGATTCTTTACTGGCCTATAAAGTCCTTTGGGAGTGAGATGTCTGGCAGCGCCGATCGCAAAGATGTTTCTTCCAGTGCTTCAAGTCGGAATACCTGCAGATGCAGTGCGCAAGATCAGCAACCAAGTCCATACCAGTCAGCCACGAACCAGCCTCCTGCAAGCTTCGAGCCCGAGTGAGAGAGGCAACCTTGACAAATCAAAGAGAGTGTTTGAATTAGTATCCAGGCTTGTTGGCTCGCTCGTGTTTTATCTGATCTGAAGGCTTGTTGGCTCAATTGTGTTCAATCATCTGCTCTATCATGAAGCATGGGAAAGCTTTATATTGCTTCACAATCTTTACATGTATAACTTCCTGAATTGTACACGTTTTCAAGTCGATTGCACCTGCTGGATATAGTTTTTTATATAGAGGCATTTGGAATCATTTAGAGGCCCATATTGCTTCGTGTTGTGCAGGACTGTGTGTTGAATACACGGACCCGTTGGTCCAGCGGCCTGCTCTTCCTCACAACCCAAGCACAAAGCGCGAAGCGCAGGAGTGCGTAGTCGCCTCACATTGAAATGTTGCATTGCAAACTGAGCCAAGGCGGAAGAGCGTTTGAGAGTGCTGCCAAACTGCTGCATTTCCAAAAGCAGCTCAATTGCAGGATCATCTAGCACATCTTCTCCTTTTCACAGGGTGAAACGGTCAACCAGATCAACGAGTCCACGCTTGGACAGCTCCTTCTCCGTGACGGTGGCCATACAGCCCTCCGACCGTCACTACCACACCCAAATGCGAGCCTTGGGACGATGGTATGACAGCAATTGTGTCTTGTGTTGTCCCACTTAGGTAAAGACAAGAGACTTTTCAGTTGGTTGAAGACAGCCTCACAAAAGCACAACACCTCTGAACTTTCACCGTGTTTGGCTCTTGCTTGGAGTGCCACTAAGAGTCGACAGTGGTGCGCTCCAAGTGGTTCTCATTGTTCACAGCGCAGTCTGGAAATATGTTGGCATCCAAACCATGCTTGCCGAACCTCAAATGCAAACATTGCTGCGCCAAGTTGAGAGATTCATCAACAGCTGCACACCACAAGTAAATCTACGTCAAGGAGTCAAGAATATGGCCGGAGTTTGGTGGACCCGTAGCCCAGTGACAAGGTGAGAAGGGTTAAAGTTGCTTAAGATTGCTCAGAATTCCGGTAGCCCCTCGGGAATCCAAGCCGAATCCAGACCGCCGTAAAATGGACGAGAAGCTGCTGACGCTTTGCGTCCCAAGCTTCTGGACCAATGGGCGACAGCAAAGCTTCTGGGGCGAAAGCGTCTGAAGGAAAAACAGATCGAAGCTGTGCCACTTCCTCTTCTTCCCTAGCAGTGGGGCATGCAGGAAAAAAAGCCAAGCACAAGGGTTGTTATCCAGGTAGCCACTCCACTAGCTAGACTATACCTACTTGTAGATGAAAACGTTGTGAACACGTTGAAAGTCGCACTTTGTGACGCCCAACACTCCTTCTCTGTAGAATCTCCATAAATCTCCACACCAAGGTGCAAAGCCAGCTGCTCGTGATCCTGGAAAGCTCGCAGTTTGCCTTGATGTACTTCAAGTTGGAGAAGCCTGATGAACTTGCAGGTCCGACAGGGTCCGACAGGTTCTTGGCTTACCAATTCCACATCTCATCCACATCTAGCAACAAGGGCATCATTACTAGTAACAAGGGCATTACTACATATTACTACTAGTAGCGATGCCCTTGCTTTCTAGTAGAGAACAAACATGTCAAAACAACATAGAAAGAAATGTGGGAAATCTACCCTATTCCACCCTACCATCCAAGAGAAAGGACTTCCCACCTCTGACAATGCATTCGCAGCACATACTGAGAGAAGGCCTCCCGTGATTGACGAATGATCAAACAAAAGATACAGCCTTTGAAACATGTTTGGAACCGTCCGCAATCAAGCGTGAGAAGCAATTGTGCACAATGAGCAACAGTGTCAGCAACTGTTCAGTCTCTAACGCAGTGCCTCCAAACCACCACATGGCCCTGCTGCATCGTGCGTGGCTCTTGCACTGCGCACGCCACACACGCAAAGAGAAATGCTGCTTTTCCAATTCATTCGAAAGCAACCTACATCAGCAACGTTCCTATGTCAACAGTCAAAAGAGAGAGGGAGAGAGAGAGAGAGAGAGAGAATAGGATAACGTGTGTTTGCCGCAAGCCCAACAATGTGCATCCAGGCTTTCTTACTCCATATCGCTTGACTTGCAAGAAATTACAGCTTGAGCAAGCACTGGCAATGCTGTAGAAGTATAGGAACTGATGCTGTAAAGTAGTTGAATGGAACACAATTAAAACCAAGTGCGCGCGGCCTCGCAGCTCTCCTTTTTATGCAAAAGGGATCAAAAGGGTGAGGACAAGCTCCTCAGGGTCCTTGGCACACTTCATCACCTCTTCTTCCTTCTCGACGAAGATTGGGGCGACTTCGCCACTTCGACCAAATTCTTCTTGAGGACCGTGAATCTTAAAACTTCAAGAGGCTTCTCATTTTTGAGGCTCAAGACATGGCTGCCGACTTGTCCAAATTACTACTACAGCTTCGCTACCGGTGGCTCTTGCCCTAAATCCTGGTCTCGGAGCTTGCCACGTGCCTGAAAAACATGCCAGTGCAACGAGATCAGCACAATGATCAGCATTTGGATCTGAATGTCAGCGCCTTCAAATCCTGGTAGCGCCTCACCATCTCTGCGATTGCCTGCCATCTCATCCGATGGAACAAATGACGTTGACACTTGCAGTCACAGTCATCCCAGTCGCCTCCTTCAAGGTCATGTGGATGGTCTCTCTCTGAGTCAACATGTGCAATGGTGCCTCGTCCACATCACCTCACACTCAGAAGTCCAGAAGTAGATGAAGTCTTGAACAACTCTCCTGTTAAACTGGTTTTGGATAAACACAGAAGCATTGCGCTCATGTATGTGTTCAGACCTATCGAACAAGTTGCTGTTTGAAGGTGGGAACCATTCAGATTCGACTTTACTCGGTCCAATGATATGACACTATATTATATTACCCATGCTGTGGTCTTCAATCTGCAGTCTTGCCTTGAATGCCTGCATAAATACTCCTAATGAAACCTTACAAATACTGCACTATGATTATAGATGTGATGTTCTTTGTATCTATACACATAGCCGTCGCCAAAAGCAGCGCATGCAAAAAGGGAAAACAAATGGCAGAAACGAATCCCCAAACACTGTGGAACCAGTGCAAATAGTGCAACTTGAACACCATGGATTGGAACTTCAGGAGCTTGCGGCTTTATCCAAGCCAGCTTTGCCACCTCGCCAATTTTGCCAGGTTGATATTGACGAGTAAAGGAATTAGTGTCCACACTATTCAACAGTCTGAAGATTTCGGCACATACTCGTAATTTGCACTGGTCAATGTTTGCCACACTGCACTTGTGCAACTGAGGCGAACCTCTGGTACAATCTTGGCGGCCTCCTTTAAAAACTCCTGACCAGGAGACGAGGAAAGCTGCATGAACTTTTGCTCGGCACTCAACACGAGTCGAGATCCCGCCACTTCCGCCAATCACAACACACAAAAGCGGACACTGCGACCAGGAACTCGCACAGCATCGCCTCATAGGACACCACGTGGCCCTGTGTATTAGCAGTCATCAGATTCATTGCCGGTGAAAGCCCATGTATCATTCAGGTAGCATTGAGGTGTCAGGTGTCAGGTCTGTTTGGCATTTGCATTTGGCCTTGATGCCACAGACATGCGCTCCAGGTTGGCGAACAGCTCCTCCCAGGGTCTCCACAAAGAGCCTCGCCACATCGGCCACGTGATGAAATCCCGTGGTCCCAGACACCTTAGTGTATACGAGGAACGGAGCAGACGAGAGAGAGAAAGCAACGAACTTGTTATGTTACGAGAGCTTCGAGGAACGAGACGAAGAACACTCCAGCTTTATCTGAGTTGTACTTCTTCAACGTGTTTTTCTTCTTGTTCAAAAGGACATGTCCCACATAATGTCCACATACTGTCCGCATATGTCATGAAGCGGCGCCTCAATCTCAAAGCGGCGCCCCAAGATCGCCGCCTTCACGGCTTTCGTGGGGCCAGATGTGAGGCCAATCTCTCGCCCCACGCCGAAAATGGTCAGTGGACGGAGACCTACCTGATTGCCATCTCTTGCAAGTCCAAAACAAGACCTCTGCAACAACAAATGCATAAGGGCTGTCATCCCTATCTACGTGGTACTGGATGTCTCCGCTTGAGGAATCTTAATGCCCACAGAACTCAAAGTCAATATGTTTCCTGTCTGAAATCACTTAGAGTTGCTTTGACAATGCTTGACGGGACATTCAAGTTATGAGTTGTTTCAATCAGTTAGATAGTGTCCCAACTCGTTTGTCAATTGCAGTATAGTTAGTTAACTAATTACAATAAATGCCTGTGGTGAGATGACCAATTCAACGAGCCCCTCAAGACCACGTAGCCTCCACAAGCTCTTTTGATGTGGTTTGCATAACTTTTTCAGGATGTGCTCTGTTGCTCGTGTGCCTACTGCGTAAAATGAGGCGACCGATGGCCGCTACTATACTTATTATCACATTGGACAGTTGTTCTCAGGGTGATGACCTCTACCACTACTTGGGGTGGTTTTGCTTTAAAGGCCATTCCTTCACTGGAGTGATCCTGCTGTTGCTTTGGGCAAGTCCATAGTATGTGCATAAGTCATATTGTTTTGCTCTCAAAATAATTAGAATTCAATCTCCCGTGGTGATAACAGCTCTGTTGCATATTTTCGTCAACTCTCATCCTTGTCCAAATCACTACCCTTCTTGTCAGGAGTCCTCAATTTATCTGAAGTGACTATTTCGCTGTTTTCTCCAGACAGAGTGCTCAGAGTTCTGAGTTGCTACGCTTTGAACGGTTTGGAGCGGCAAGAAGATTCAGCCAAGTCTCTGAGGGAATTTTATGATCTTGCCAATATATTCTAGCCATGCCCTCGTTGCACAGCTTGAAAACACCGTACAGCGTGCGAGGCCTCTTCTGGGCCCGGGACATTCCAAGGAACTCGCAATCAAAGGTGCAATGTGGTGCGATCAATATGCTTGAGAGATGCATCACAGCATTTAGCAGGTTTGTTAGGCAATTCCAATCATTGTGCAGTCACAGTCGAATGGATCACAGTAGGCGGGACCTCCAACAATTTATTTTGCAGTGGGGATGGGTTGTCCATCACCTCGCCTGTGGTAGTCTCTTTCAGCAGGAAGAGGTGCGCCTGAAGCATAATCGGAAGAAGGCCCAAGAACAGCACCAGAGGAAGCGTAGGCGACTGGGACAACTTTTCCAGCCCCCCTGAGTTGTCTCGAGAACAAGCAACGAAATAACATGAACTGGATGATTCAGAACTGTGGATTTGCATATATATATATATGTATAGATATATATGTGTAAGATTGTGTAAGTATATACTGTATAGAAAATATATGCTATAGTAAGGTACACACCCGACAAAAGTCCCCAACAGCTGGGCATGAATTTGCAAGCGGTGGCAACATGACATTTGTCAATAAACTTGCGACGGCTGCAAATTCATTAGCAAGTGGCGCGAACGTTTTCAATGCGCCATGCGAGCGAACTGGTCAATGAACTAACACGGCAACACATCTGCATAGCACATGACTACACCACAACAAGAAAGAATGGAACCTTTTCCGCAACCGTCATGCTGACCCGACTTCCACATCTCAGCTTGACAACGCGTTAGCATGTTAATTAAGTGTGACCCATTCCAGCATGACAATATGTCAGCATGACAGCCTGACTGCTTGTCACCATGACACCATGCCAGCAGCACAGCAGCGTAACAATATGATTCACGCCAGCGCGCCTACATGAGTGTGAGACAGCAGTCTATACACACAGCGCACCAACATGACATCCGCGTCAGCTTATTGGCGAAGCAACACACCTTAGCGCTCCAGAAGTGTAACATGTTGGCAGGTTAACACGGCGTGTCAACATGTCAGCATGACAACGTCCCAGCGCTGCGCCGTGACAACATTGTAGAAGCAGCTTCTCATCATATCTGCAAAGCGCTCTGGACCTTGCAGGAAGCTGCTCCCACACTCTGGTACCTTCTCCGAACCTGTTTCGCAACCTCTTGCAACCTCCGGAACCTGCTCAGAAACTTGCGCCCGCTGCTCCTGAGCTTGGTCTGGAAAATCTGCTCCGGAACTTGCTCGGGAACCTGCTCCGAGACGGGGCTGAAGCGACGACAAAAAACAACGCACGAAGCTTCTGAATCGACGGGAGTCTTGTTTTCGTGGTTTGGTTCAAAAACCGGACCCCCGCCGGTTTTCAGCCAATTCCCAGGCTCAAGCCTCAGCAGCGGGTCACCGAAGTTCGCGCGCATGGAGACAAGCGTACTGCGACGCGCGTGGCGCGCGAGGCAAACCGAGTCACGAAAAACCTGCTCCATGATGTCTTCCGTGGCCGTCTGGCGCGCCAACGCGGCTTCAGCCTCCACACGGTACCCTGCTCCTGTTGGTCGCGAGTGACCTGGTTCAAGACATCTCGAAAAAGCGGCAAACGCACAAGAACTTGTGCGCTTTCTTCCCTTCGCAGGTTCCGAACATGTTGCCATTCCTTTGGCCCTTATATAGGTCTGCTTCTTGGCCCAAACTTAGCCAGCTCTGGGTTCATCCCCTCAATGTCCTGCGCAGCCTTCTCACACAAGCTCTGCACGCTTGCCTTCAACTTGCAAGCCCAACACACCTTTCTGAGAAAGGGCTTCAAGGTCATGAGGCTCACATGGCCCCTCATCCTGAACCTCCATCGCCTCGGTCTCGACCTTGCGACTCGTTTTCTTGGAAGCAAGTCGACTTTTTAATCGCAACCTTTTTCCGAAGCTGCTTCTGCGGCTTCTGCGCAATCGCACCGACATCCTCGTCCTGAGGCAACAGAAGAATGACACGCTGCGCACACATTGACATGCGCAGGCACGTGAAGCACAAGAAGTGGCTATACGCTTCAATGCACTTCATCAATCCGTCCTTTGCAGTTTTGAGCTCCACATCTGAAGGGCCCTCGGCCAAGTTCTCAGCGATTGGATGATTGGAACGCTGGCATTCATGAGGTACCACACTATAATCGAGGAGGGGCATCGGTATAGTGTTGACAAGGTTACGACTTGCGATCAAACCTTGAAAAAAGTGGACGGACCTTGCTTCGCTTCTCAAGTACATGTATAGCAAAAGGTTTGTACACAACACGCCCAAAACCCCTTCTTACGGTCGTCTCTTTTGCAGCGTCTTCACTCAACTTCTCACTCAACGCGGCCTCTTCCTCTTCGCAGGTCGCGCTCTTCTTCCACGTGAGATTCAATGTTCCTGCGTCAGACTGAAGGAGAGGACACCGCTACATTTTCAGAACTTGCAAGATGCGCTTGACAACCGAAAGATGTGTCCGCAAGCTGCCGCCGACAACAAAGCCCGCTGGAGCTTGCGCGTGGGAGGACTTATCCTTAGATGAACTGGAAACCCTGGGCCCAAATAAGCATCAAACCCAAAAAAAGTGGCGACATACGCGCTGATCCAGCTTGCTCAGCAGTCACTCGTACCTTGCGAAGGTATTGGTGCGTCGCTGCGTCGCACCCCAAGGCCCGCTGGCTCGACTGATCACTGTCGACATGCAAGATGGAAGGCCATAGATGTGAGAGACCGCATGGACCATGGAAGTCAATGATGAGAGGCATCAAAGCATTGATGAGCCCGCAACTCAGCTTCTTGTGGTTCCTCCGAATGTTCGTGAGGAGGTGCGCCACCACTAATCCGATTTGGACTTGGAGCTGAAGTGTTGCGCAGATAGATAGGTAGATAGATAGATGGATGGATAGGTAGGTAGTTAGGTTGATTATGAATTTGAACATGGCTCTCAAGCTACCCTCGGTGGTCTTCAGGTGATCAAGAAAGAACGGAACGCACGCAATCCACCGGAAAGACTCTGCGCTGGCTTCTACGACATGAAATGTCAGGCTGTCGCCCCTCAAGTCGGCCAAGCCAGCTTCAAAACTCTCCACTGACTCCGCAAAAACAGCACGCGTTGACTTGCCCCGCGTCTGTCGCCTGTGCTTCAGAACGGCACGGATAGCTGGCGCACCAATCGCCCACCTCCATGGCCACAGCACTGGGAGTCGGTTTGCAACCGCTTTCCAAGAGAGCGTCAGCACAGTCAAGCACTCTTTTAAGCTCAGCAACAGTCACACGACCAGCGCCTCCCTTGCGATTGCGTGCCTCCCTCTCCTCCCCAGCACAGCACTTCACACGCACAGCTTTCAAAGGTTCATTGACCGATCCATCAACATGGAACTGCTTTCCACCACCCCTCACGCAGCCTGTGCGCCGATTGAAACGGGCATACAGCCGAGCTGAAGCAACGCCGGTTGCCTGTGGGGTTGACAAGTCGGCCGTGAGCAGCTTCAGGCCACGCGCTCCTTTCCGCAGCCAGTCTCTGACTGATGCAAGCTCATCTTTCTCGATGCTCAAGTCTCTGAAGCTGAAGGTCTGCTCTACATGGAACTGCCATTGCCTCTGTGCGCGCGGCATGTCATCGGTCAGAGCCAAAATCTCAGAACCAAGCTTGCGTGGCACCGGCATTAGTACTATTAGTACTACTCCTATGGGGACGTGGCCTCCCCTTTTTGTTGGGGTCCTGTTTTTGGTGCTTTGGACCTCGAAGCCTTCAAAAACAGAACCCCCGCCTTCCCATCGCTTTCTGAGGCGCAGGCAAGCACACTGGACAAAGACGAAGAGAAGGCTTCGGTGGCAGAGGGTACCTCAAGTGCGCAGTACAACAGTGAGACAGCAGGATGAGAAGCAAGGAGGGTATGGTCAATCTGCATCAATAGCAAGGACCGCTCAACTAAGGACCACTCATCTAGTCAATCCAACAATTGAAGATCTCAAAAAAAGGAGGAGCCGAGCCCCCCACGCTCAGGCGAGGAGTAGCCTCTAGAAGGTCTTCTCTGAGGTGTCTGGAAGCCAGACATCTTTGAGCCAAGCACTTGAAAAGGCTCAAATGAGAAGGACTGAGAAGGTGAGGAGTTTGTCGTGGTTGCACCCTTTTGAAATATTTCTGAAGGACCCTGTCTCCTGCTCCGGAACCTGCTCTGGAACTTGCTCCGGAACCTCCTCCTGAACTTGCTCCGGAAGCTGCTTCGGAACCTGGTTCTGAACCAACCTGCTCCGAGGTCTTTATTATGGCTCAAGGCCCGTAAGCCGTAAGCTTCGCTGTTGGGGAATAAATAGCATAAAAGTTATATACATATATACTCTTATATACTCCTCTGTTACCCAAGTGAATCTTTTCAAGCCCTCCAAGTCTGCTTCACTGCCGCCCAAGACACTTCCTGTTCTGCTAAAGCCTTGACTGCCTCAAAAACATTGATGGTGCCCAACAGATTCACTGCAACACCAAGTGGAGCATTGCTGCCTCAAGACGATGTTCAAACAACATGTGCAGAACACTGAACAAGGGACACACAGCCCCACATTTAATTCCATGACCTTCACAACATTCACATGATGTGACACCTCCGACCTTCAAGCTAACTATGGGCTTATTGTGGCTTGTGGCATCTTAGTCTTCAATGATCAGAAAATATTCGGATGCATGGCATCTCAAGGAAAGAACTTGCACTCCCCTTGTCTCAGTGAAAGCCACGCACCGTTGGAATTTGCACTCCGGCCAAATGGATCACAGCAGTTGGCTTGAAGTTCAGGATCGCGTCCTTGGCACTTTTCAGTTTCACTTTGGACGTTGTCTAGAACCAAATGCCGTGCCCCCAACCAGCAATTGGGTTAGTGGTTGATTCGTCCTTCTCCCAAAGCTGGGGTGGAATGGACATAAAATAACATAAATAGCCGCATCTTAATTCACCGGCACATACACTACTCCTCAGTGATGGAAATGTAGATGTCGGCGTTTGATTCATTCATTGTCCACGTCAATTGCCATCAAGCTACCTTCACCTGGCGGTGCTGGCTCGAATGGTAGCAAAGCTTCTTCACCCAAGACCCTGCGCATCCCTGCGCCTTGGCCGTATCCGACACATCCACCAACTTTGTTGTGAAACGTCCAAGCTCCTCATCCGACAGCACCTGGCATGTGCCCAATCACTTCTTTGGCAACGAGTGCACAACAAAACCTGCAGCCCTACCTGAGCCAAAATGTCGGGAGCTTCTTTGAGATCCAAAGATTCAACTACTGAACCCTTTCCAAGCAGCTCTTTGATCACCTCAAGGCGGTAGCTACAGTAGCCGTAGCCATGTCGAAAAAATGAATATGGCAAGAAAACAACATGCTGCAAAGTTGCATAGGCCCCCAAAAACCTGAGGAGCCAAAAAGCACAGCAAAATATCAAACATTCTCACCACTTTGAAGCCAGTGTCATCCGAGCAGCCCTTGCCCGCCAGTGACCGTTACGCGCTGCAGTACCATGATGGACACTGGGCCGGGTGACAGGCTATCTCGGACTGAGCCGTGAACAGCGGACACTTATATAGTACGTAGAGTGGCCCCCCAAACCCATATCTCTGTCTCGTTAGTCTCTAACAGTCTCTAACAGTGAAAATGAAGAAGACTGTTCCTGCAGCTTTGTATCCTTGCGGGTCACCCACTTGGCAAGCCTCTCACCGCATGGCCAACTGCCAAGGTTGCTCAGTGAGTGTAACAACTGCTTGCTGAACCTTCAACATCATTACTCATGTCCTATGTTGTGCCTGTCGTTATGTTTCTAGTGTCTTTGATGTCATATGTCCTCTTTGCCTCTCTCATGTCCCTTGGAATCGCAGGACTTCTGAAGCGATTTACTCGTCAAAATGCATGGAGTTTCTACTGAGCACATTGCGACCACTTTTTGACCCCAAGACAAGTCCAACACGCCAAAGTCAACAACTTCCTCTCAGCCATAGATCGTAAAGGGCTTTCCCATGGTGCTCTTGATGTGCAATCGCTTGACCTTTGCACAGGCCAACCATTGTACAATGGGATAAAGGTGGGCAAACAAAGCTTGGATGGCTCTTAGTCTTAGTTTAGGTGTCCCACATTGTTCCAGTTCTTCTTGAGCAAGGACACCAGGAAGTTAATGGCCATCAGGCAGTTCTGCCTGATCTCGAGGCGACCGCACCGGGCACTCAAGGCGAGTGCATCCTTGTTGACATGTCTGTAGGTTAGGAATGAGGACAAAGGTGCATTATTCTTTTCTCTCCGTCAAGAAACCAAGATCAAACCAGTTGGTGACCGGGGCCACAGCCTCAGCTCATCCGGTGTCATTTGAACGTTGCCCACTGCAACGCCCATACAAAGCACCTTCTTCAACTGGAACTTCACCTGGAACTAGATCAGTCAGGCTCATGACAACGCTCCACATAGTTCATGTGGTGACCCATTCAACACAGGCAGCCATGATAAATATCCTATTCATATGTTGCAAGATGTAAAGACGTTTAAACATCAAGATGTAAAGACCTCTTCGCAGCTTCGCCTGGCTTCTCACCTCAGTGACTTTGGTCTCCAGGTTGTCGGAGTGCTGCACCAGCGTGGGGAACTTTCCGGCCTGGATAAAAAAATCTGCGAATCCGATAGGTACGAGTAGGCTTATTGTCAAACCAAAAAGAGCAAGATGAATAAGCCAACGTATATTAAAGTATATTACAACAAAAGAGAAGCGTATGCAAATGCATGCAAATTATGCACTTGAACTTTAGACCTTGTTCAAACCAGGGCCAAGCAATCGAGGGATCTGCGGGATCAGCACCTCTCAGGGCCGGTCCTGTCTCCCTCTCTCAAGTTGCTCGTGACAGCTTTGCGTTTAATATCTCAAGAAACATGCAGCAGGATCCTGGCCTTACTACTAGGAACAAGAAGCTACTAGGGGCTCCTGGCATCGCTACTAGGAGCAAGGACGCTACGAACGGAGCATCGGCAGCAGGATCCTATTGGGTGACAAACATCTACTTTAGGGGTCACACACACATCTACAACCTTGTCAAATCCCTTGAACTGACTAAAGTCGCCAAACGCCTGGGATGCCAGGAAAGCGTCAAAGCTATCAGCCAACCTGCGAAGGGGGGTCATCATGATTCAATCACATTAACCTGTTCATTTCAAACAAAAGAACACAACCTTCAACATCCTTCGACGACCACACCCTTTGCTGACATATTACTGTACCTGGTGTCCCGGATTTATTGGGACTGGATTGTAAAACATACCATGACGACCAATAACGAATATATTTACATTTATAGATATATACTTATATAATGGGAATGGACAAACAAGGGAGTTTGAAAGGAAACTTCGGTGCCTACAGCAAATCCTGCAACTTATGTGGACCATGGCCACGGAGCAACCGACTGCTTCTTTCCCAACGAGAGCGGAGCCAAGAAGCTTTTTCACCATCTTCTTGTTCTTGTTCAATTTCTTCAAGTCCTGCCATAGCTCACATGTACAGAACGCCAGAATTTCCACAAGACGCTGCAAACCTCGACGCTCTTGAAAGGGATGTTGGCCTGAGCGAGTGGTCTTGGCCACGGTTGCTTTAACCTTTCCATAATCCCCCGTACTAGTATCAAGTTGGAGTTCGGAAAAGTAGTGTGTGGACTATGGTAAGTGACTAAGTGTGAACAAACGAGGACAAACCTCAATGAACCACTACAGCATAGACTATAGAATCAAAATGACCGTACACGAGCACCAAGAAACAGAAAGATCCTAAATGATCGTTTCTTTGGAAGTGTCATAAGCTTCGAGCAGCAACAGCCGAGGTCAGGACGCGCTGGGCTTGCTCGCAGTGCACGGCATCCCCAAGGACACAAACCTTCAGATTCAGTTTGCTCAACAGAATCAGCCAACCAATGTCCATGGGTCATCTAGCAAGTCTACCATGAAATGCAGGACAACTTAAAGAAACTCAAACCAATAGCCTTTCACAATTTAAATGTTCACAAGTGTCCTGAACATTCCTCAGCGAAAGGATGAAAGGGTTCAAATGAATGGCACGTGCATGGCGCACCTTCAAGCGTGGACGAGGCACGTGGGGCAACTTGATGGTTCCTCTGCACGGTGATCTTGAAAGGTCAACAGACAGCCGACCAAAAAAATGAGGGTCCATGGAGGTCCCACTGAAAAAGAACTTACACATCCTCCAACATAGTAGCGATGGCCTCCAACCTAATTACTAGCGATGGC